CATCATTTTGTTCCTTTAATCTCAGTCAGTCAATGGTAAGACAAAGGACGGGGGTTTCATGAAACATTTCTTTCCTTACTGAACATAATATAGAAACACTTGGTGTTTCTTCTTGGCTGGGAATGCCATGCCCACATGAGTGAAAAAGGCAGTTGTCTCTTCTGTCAGGGGTTCAGATCTATTTCTGATACAGTTTTGGCATCAAAAGAAAATTGGGGGAAAAACACTCCTCTGTTTCATTACTTGCTAAGGACCTGTTGTATAGTAATCCAAATACTGTTAATGAGGAGAAGGTATGTATTAATTTGCTCACCAGTTTAGATTCTGTGTAGAAAACACAGTTTCAATAAAACATGCATTTTTGTTTTGTTTTCTCTATCCACACAGAGCTCTCCTACAGCAACAGGCAAATTATGGTAATGTCTTAGAGGAACAAGCAGTGGTTGTGTGGTTACTGAGTGAGATCTTTGCCTGCAGTAAAATTTTACTTTACAAACTAAATGTGACAACAGAATTGCATGCATAAACTGTTCCTGGGAGCTGCGACCTATTTAAAACAAGCAGCCTTGTTACACTCTGCCCATGACTGGAAATCCTTTTAGACTCTGGAACTAGTCTTGACCTAGTCTTTTAAAGTATGAGTTTCTTGAGCCGGCTGTGTGCAGCACTGAATGCTTTCCTACATGGCTCTCCACAGGCCATACCATAGCTCATGTCCTTTAAGAATAAACTTGTAAACCCATAGGAAAGATGGCACTTGACAAGTTTACCTTAAAGAGAATATGTGCTCATTTGAATGGTTACCTTTTAAAATTTCACTGCCTGTGAATTATTTTTGAGAGGAACAAGAAAATTGTGCCAAAGAAGTGATAATTGAGCTCAAAAAGGTTTATACAAATAGAAAAATAGGAAAAAAAGACAGTATTTCTGTGACACAGACTAAATAGGACTCAATAGAGACAGGGAACTGACTCTGCCTAGTACATGATACCCCATCTGGAATACTGTGTCTAGCTTAAAGCTCCCCCATTCAAAGGAGATATCATTAAACTGGAAACAATTAGAGAAGGACCATCATGATGGGGGTAGCTGGAGCTCTTGCTGTGTGAGGAGAGGCTGATGGAGCTGGGGTTTTTCAGTGTGAAAAAGGAAATTGCTTCAGGGGTGCCTGCCAAAAGCCTCCAATGTCAATAGGGCACCATCTCTTCTCCATCCAGGTGGTGGAGTCAGGCTCTTCACAATGATGCTTGGTAAGAGGGCAAGTGGTGATAAATATAGATTGAAACCAAAAGTTTTAGACTGGATATAAAGAAAAATGTCTGAGATGACAGCCTCACTGAAGTCCTGGTAGACAATATCCACTGCTATCTGCACCTACCATGCTGGTCATTACAATGCAGAGGTATCAAATTGGTTGACCGTGCCTTCCTGTTGGTGAATCCATAATGATTGTTTTGATGATTTTTTTGTCCTTAATGTGCCTTGAAATTATTTTCATGATTCATTTATCTATTGCTTTCCCAGGGACTTATGTGAAGCTGATTTGTCTGTAGTTTCCTGAGTATTCTTGAGGATAGGAGTGAGATTTACTGGGTCTTCAGGTGGCTATCGCAATCATTGCTATCATTCAAAGACCATTGAGTGACTTCACAAGGACATCATCCAACTCCATCAGCACCTGCAGGGTGCATTCTGTCAGGTCCCATGGACCTATATGTGCCAGTTTTGCTTAAGTATTCTCTAATCTGATCTTCTTCCACCCAGAATAGGTTTTCCTTTCTCCAGACTTTCACCCTGCCTCTAGGACTTGCAATTCCTGAAGGTTTGGCTTGATAGCGAAGAGAGGCAAAGAAGCCATTCAATACTCTAGCCTTTTCCACATTCTGTGTCACTGGGGCCCTGTTTCATAGGTGTGCATTTTCTGTAGACTTCTTTTTGTTCCCTCTGTGTGTAAAGAAGCACTTTTTATTGCTCTTGAATTAGAATTGAATCTCATCAGATTCAATTCTAATTGGACTTCAGCTTTCCTAACTGTGTCTGCTTGCTGGGACTTAGACTATATACCTCCCAGGTTGCCTGTCCCTGCTTCCACCTATTTTATGCTTCTTTTTTATGTTTTAATTTGATCAGCAGACCTCCTGGCATTTTTGAATATCTTCCTGCTTGTTGAGATGGACTGTTATGGAACTTGGAGGGGTTCCTTTAATATTCCTCAGGTTTCTTGGGTCCCTCTTCTCTCCAGGGCCTTATCCAATGGGACTCTTCCAAGCAGATATGTGAAGAGTCCCAAGTCTGCTTATCTGAAGTCCAGAGCTGTGATCTTGCATTTTGCTCTCCAATCCTTTCACAATACTGAACTCTCCTGTCATGGCCACTGCAGCCAAGACTGCCTTCTGCCTGCAGAGTCCCAGAGTCTTCCCTTTTTTTGTGAGAGTGAGCGGGGCGTCTCTTCTGTTTTCTTCTGTCACTTGGAACAGGAAGTTGAGGCTGATGTTCTCCAAGATCCTCCTGCACTGTGTATGCCCCAAGTGGGTTCAAGTGTCCCCCAAGTCATCCAGGACTATGAGTGTAAAGCTACTTCAAGCTTTAAGCAGGAAACTGGACTAGGAATTTCTCATGTCTAAACTGGATTATCCAATGATCCTGTGATGCTTGTACATTTCTTGGATTATCATATGGTCATTTATGTTGCTCTCCTGTGGAGAGAGATCGTTTATCTGCGAGAGACATGACTTCCTCTTAGGGCAGTATGCCATTTGTGTGGGGTTACTCACAGGTCAGGGTCTGTAAGTACCCCTCAGGATGATTTGCAGATGAACTGTGTTTGCATGGCCACATTTTGGGGGTGGGAGGGGCTATAGAGGTGGCTTCTGTGAGGAGTTACCTGCAGCTTCCCCCATGTCTGGCAGAGCCAATGCCCGCTGGCTACAGGACAGACCCACTGCTGGCCAAGTCTGACCCAACTAGCTGTGGTGGTAATGCCTCTGTGATAACATATTTAAGACTGGGTGTTTTTAAGGTATTGAGAGAAGTTGAATGAATGAGTGTTAATACTTGTAATAAAATATGAGTTAAGCTTTAGCATGAATTTTGCAGGAGAGAGATGTAGATAGTTGTTTTCCTTACATGATGGAAATAGGAAAGCTTTTTACATATTGCATAAAGTAGCTGTTTTCTTCATGGACTCTTAAGTTCTTCCACTAAGCAAATGATGTATTCTAATGGGTTTAGCTTGGTTGGATCATTCTGCTTTACTCTTTTTGTTTGTTGACCATTGGAATATGCAGTTCCCCTTCCTGACTGTTTCCTGTGAATGAGGCCCACACTAGGATTACATCACAGTTTTAACAGGCTGTTAGGTGTTTGAAAATTTTACATTTTTGTTTACAGGCAGATAAAGAACCTGTTTACATTTGCATTGCATATAGTTTCTGGAGCAGCTGTTTATGCCAATAAATCGATGTAAAATTCCTGCTGTAGTTACCCAATGGCACCTATTTGAAAGCTTTCATCTGATTCCTCCTGTTTTCAGTAGATAATTTCCTCATAGAGTGTTTTTCTCCATTTCCACTGTTACGTATAAAACAAGAGAAGTCATCAATGAATCACAAAAAATGTCAACAGAAAGAAATTAGCTACTACTGGGCATTAGGAATGAGGAGAGTATGTTAAGAAAAGCTTCTTTGGGAAGATCAAGGCATTTCTCTGGTCCTCTCAGCTGTCACCTGTGCTGGATGTTTCACTCAGTAAAGCATCAGTTCTTGCTTCTATTTCCTTGAACAGCTTGACGAAAGACAAACAGGGCCAAGAGAAATAAATTTCATTATATCATTCTCGGGTGTATATGTTTAAGTTAATTAGTTATGCTCAATTTTATTTCTTTTTTCTCTAATCTGTCTAAACTATGTTACAGGCTCCACTGATCTGTGAAGACTAAATAATGTGCAGGCTTGTACATGGTATTTTCTGACTAGGAAGAAAAAGCTCTCGTTTATTTCTCTTAACCTTTGTTGAGGAGCCTTAACCGTGGGAATAAAATAGGAAACAGGTCTGGTACAGCGCTAAATGTTTACCGATGTATTTATGAAGAAGTGAAGTGTACTGACATTGTCAGGTGTAGACAGTGTAAACATTGCTGCAGAGTTTTAATTGTATATTGACTAAGAAGTGGATCTTTTTTTTTTCCCAACTGTGTAATATGTTGGTGATTAATCTAGTATCCATTAGGAGTGCAAGACATCAGTGCTATGCACAATAAGCTCTTTCATCCCCAGGCCAAGAACCATTTTGCAGCCGTAATGCAAGGATGCCTACAGATCTGTGTGGGTGTACATAAACTCTAACCTGAACATCTTGTGGTGTTCTCGTGTGGGAGGGTAATTTCGCCTCTTCATTGATTTTACTGATGTCTCTTATGAGCGACTAGTGCTGTTTCCCTCACCTGTGATGAATTGTGTGTGCTACACAGTGTGGGCTATTGCTCACCAGAGCATTAAGCAGGAGCAACAAACCTGCTTTATTTTCTTCTAACCTTTCATCAGTGGAAGACAATTGCGTCATTGTGTTCATTTGTAACATTTTGATGCAGTAAAGAAGACTTCCGGTTTTTCTAGAGGAGACTGCCTGCTGACAAAAATGCTTACATTGCATCTGGATTGTTTACAGAAAAAATGCTATATTACTTGTACTGAAATCTTCAAAAGCAAAGAAATTTTATGAGTAGTCTCAGCACTGTTAAATTAAGCTGTCCTAAGTACCTGCAGTAACCATGGAATTTAAAAGTCCGGATTACTGCAGCAGTTCTTTGTCTGGGATATGGTACGTACTGTACTTGGATTTTAATGGAGCCATTTATACAGGTTTTATACTTTCTCATAAAACTCCTCAAGGTGAATGAAAACAAGCGTGGGCTAGATGTTTTCACTTCTCAGTGCTCTTTCTGTTACAGAATCTTGCTGGCTTTCTTAATTGCTAACTTATGCTGTTTCTTTGTCTTCTAGAATGTCGGGTGGTGAAATCTACTTCCTATACTAAAATAGCTTCGAGTTCACGTAGGAGCACCACCAAGAGCCCAGGCCCATCCCGACGCAGCAAGTCTCCTGCTTCTACTAGCTCAGGTAAAGCAAGCAAACAGTCTTTCTTAACAACAGCAACCATTCTGTTGCAATAGAGTGGGCAATGCACTTAAAATTCCACGTTTCTGTGGAAAAACATTGTATGTATAAAATAGTTGATACTAAAAATTCATGTGTTTTCTCAGTGACATCTGAGGTCAAGTGTCTTCCCAATACAAAATAAAGCTTCAGCATCTTATAAATCATACTCTGGCATTACAGTGATTCAATTCACTTTATTTTTTTATGCATGTTTTTGCTTCTAATACCTAAACACTGAGGGAAAAATGTATGGTAGTCTTTGTACTGGGAATTGAATGACAACAATACAGAAAGTAGCCCAAGTTATGAAACATAAGATCTGTGTTGCTGGAAAGGTAATTTCACAATCTTTTTTTTGTTTTGTTTCTTTCTGAGGGAATGAGGAAAGGATTGATTAAAGATCATAAGGATATTGAGAAACAAGGGCAGGGCAGAGAAAGAAAGCAATTACAGATGTAAATGTGAGGTGAAAAGATAGCTGAGGAAGAAATGTCAGAACTGACCTAACAAACCAGTGATACAGGCTGGAGAAGACACTGCAAAAAGCTTTAGAAAGTTCTGTCTGAAGGGCTTTGCTTTGGCTGCCTTTACAATAGCTCCCACTAGATAGCTGATGAGTAGTTCACCCCTGCAGTTTTCCCAAGCAGAAAAAATAAATAAACAAAAAAGTGCATTATATTGCCAGTACTGATGCCTGAAGGTACAAATAATCTTTGGTGTGAGCCATTTGAGTAGACCCATTGAAGCATTTGCAGCATTGCTTATGAATACAGATTTTGCAAGAGGCAAACATTAGAGCTGTCTGGAAGCCATTTCCCTTTCTGCTCAGTCTTCTGCCCACAGGAAAGCAAAGGGCATCCTGAAACCTGCATCCAGCACCATAAGGTTTCTGTGGGGAGGTTGTGATCAGAATGGCCCAGTGCTGGTTTTAAAGAGGGTAGAGATAGACCAACTGGAACTTTTTTTTTTTCTTTTACAAAAAGACAAAGGTGAGAAAAAACCTGCTCTGGGAAGGAGGAAAGTGGGAGAGACATGATGAGAGACAGAGGCGTAGATGTAGGTAGCAGGGCTGGGAGCAACTTGCCTCCTACACATCCTAGAGAGCAGCTAAGATACACAAACCTGAAAAGAGGTAATGGGATAAAATATCAGTTGTAAGGAACAAGTCCAGAGTAGCTCTTTCATAAATATGTTAAGCTAATTTCTTTGTAGCTAGGTGGAACAGAGTCAAATTTAACTTCAGCAAGGGAGGTCCTGTTTGGTGTATGAATGTTACAGACTGTGGAGTTTTTTTTCCTAATGAATTTGTGAGTACAGGTAATGAACATTGAACTGTGTATGCTCATTTCTATGTGAAATAAGTGTCCTGTGAATAATACAGAATCAGTGGGATTTCTACGGGACTAGCAACATTTTTTTCTGTGTTGAATATGTGATACCATGTTAGTTTTGGTTTTGAAAGAAATAGTACTGTTTTTAGTTAAAGGTGCTGGGGTACATTTTGGATGGTGCTGTGGTGATGACAGATGTAACCATCTTAAACATTTCTTATGTGAAAATACATTTATACGAAGTAGGCACACGTTAGTTTGTCACCAGCAGCATTTCTTCAGGGTTCGGGTCTAGGGCCAGTTTTGTTCAATATTTATATTGATGTTCTGGATAGAGGAGGTGAATGCACCAGTAAAAATTTTGAGGATAATAACAAACTGGGAGGTGCTGATGACTCTCTGAAAAAGGGATCTAGGCAGATTGGAGCACTGGGCAATGATTAATGAGATGGAGTTTAAGAAGAACAAATGCCAGATTCTGCACCTGGGATGGAGTAATGCCAGGCACAAGTATAAATTGGGAGAGGTCTGGATACAGAGCAGCCGTGCAGACAGGGATCTGGGAGTGCTGGTTCGCAGCAGGCTTGTTACAAGTCAGCTGTGTGCCCTGGTAGCCCAGAGAACAAATTGCATCCTAGGGTGTGTCAAACACAGCACCACCAGCCAGGTGGTGAAAGAGGTGGTGATCATCAGGATGTATTCAGTGTTGGTGTGGCCTCACCTTGAGCACTATGTACAGTTCTGGGCACCATAGTTTATGAATGATGGGAAGGTACTCAAATGCCTCCAGAAGTGGGCAACAAAACTGATGAAAAGGCTGGAAGGTATGTCCTATAGGGAGCAGCTAAGGACTCTAGTTGTGAAAAAAGGAAGGGTTGAGGAATGACCTGATTGCTCTCCATGGCTTCCTGAGAAGGCAATGTGGAGATAAAGATGCTGAGCTCTTCTCTCTAATATCCAGTGGCAAGGCATGTTGGAATGGTTCAAAACTGCACCAGGGAAGGTTTAGACTGGACATTGGGAAGCATTTCTTTCTGAGAAGTTTATCAAGCATTGGAACAGGCTGCCCAGGGAAGTGGTTCAGTCAGCATCCATTGAGATATTTAAGAGATGTGTAGACATGGCTTTGAGGGACATGGTTTAGTGGTAGACTTGGCAGTGCTTGATTAACAGTTGGATTTGATGATCCTAAAGGTCTTCTCTGGTCTAAACAACTCAATGATTCTGTAGCTAGGAAGCATTCCTTTACCAAGAAATACTCTGTGGTTGCTTGGATGACAGGTGCTCACCAAAGCCACTCTGTTGTGAAGCTTCGCTTCCCAGCTGAACATGCTGAAGTTTTGATCAGCCCTGAGTTGGTCAGGCAGTTGGGCTAGATGGTTGTTGTAGAAACCTCCCAATGGAACTTATCTATTTTATTCTATTGTGTTCTGTCCTATCCTCTTCTAAATTTGCTAAGCCTAAAAAGGATAAACTGTTGAAAGTGTTTCTATGGAATTTATTCTTAGTGAGGGGAGCGGCTCTGATTTTGCTGTCTGTATCTTTGCTGTTTGCTTTTTGCAAGTAGGTCAAATAAGCCCATTTCTAACCTTACATACATGAGTACTTAGATCAGTATTGCTTTCATACAAAGAAACAATATTGTACTAAGCAGTTAACTGTCAAGAATTGTTTTTAAATCATATAAAACTAAAACCAGTCAATGATTTTTTTAAAATGCAATTCTATATTAGACATTGCATTTTAAAAAAACAGTAGTAGAAAGAAAGAGGAACAATGACAATGGTTTTAGACAAAGCCCAATGTTCTCCCATGAAATGCAAACAATATGTAGAGATTTAACTTTTCTGCCACCCAGCAAGCATAAAAAAGTGCTTGTTTCTTGGAATTATGTACCTGTGACAGAAGCAGAATAGAGAAATTGCCATCTAGCACACATATGAGCAGATAATTTTTTTCAATGATGTCTACCATAAACATCTCAGTACTAGAGAAGCTCCTGAATGACTTGTGCATAACTGGATGTTACACTTTTGTTGTTATGTTGCTACTGCTGTGTGTATGTACATGTATTTTTATTGTATGTTTTTAAACTGCTTTCAGTTAAACTTTAAACTACTTTTAGGGATTTTTCTTTCATTAGCAATAAACAGGGAAAATAAGAAAAAAAGTAGATTCTTTGCTCTGATCAAAGACAATACATACATATTACAAAAAGTTAAAGGTGTATAATTTTCTGAAGAGTTTTGTCTTAGAACAAAGTTGAAAGAAGTGGGAATAAAAGGAAACAGAAAGCATACTTGGTAGTGTACCCTTGACAAAAACCTGAGAGAGGTGAATGGAAAAGAGCGTGTTGCTAATTAGAAAGAATTTGATTCCTTTTGTTTCTTTTTGATTCTTGCTGCACTTTGAGAAGTCTGCACATTCTAATTGCACAAAAGGATCATATATCTGCTTCAGACTTAAATTAATGTTTGTATCAAGAAAATACACATGGATAATTACATGGGCCAAAAAGGGAAAGTTCCAGAGACAAAGACTATGTTAAAAAAATATTCAAATCTCAAAGTTGGGTATTAAAACTTGTAAAATTGTCAAATGAAGAGATATCCTTGAGTTAACCTTATTCTCTTGTGTATGCATCTGTAGTATGGTATAGTCTTTAATGCAGGTATTCAACAGCATAGCTGATTTGGATTCATCATTTTTAGAGTTAATGAAGGCAAAGTCTTGGGCCATTTTCCCATTGTTAGAGAAATAGATGTATAAACAAGGCCAAGACATATAGGCAATCTATTCTGGTTTAAGCATTTAAATATCATCCTCAACAACTGTTTCCCTTTGACACAGAATTTCAGGTGGTCAATGAATTAAGCCAAACTCTGGCTTGCACTAACTATAAATTGGATGAAGTCCATAAGTTTCTTTTTTGAGCAAATGGTAGTTTGGAGCGATAAACTTTTCCCAAATTCATCCCAAAATCTTCTGAAGTTGCTTACAGAAATCAAAGGGCTTATGTGGAGGGATTAGTCATTTGTTGTTTTTTTGTGTCTTGTTTTTGCATCTGTAAGTCTGGAACAACAATATTTTACCAAAACCGGTGCTTTGAAGATAAACTCAGTAATGTTCAATTGTTTTTGAGAAAATTCTGCTTGAAGGCCCTTGCTTTCCATTTCAGTCTCACCTTGTTGTGGTGACCCCTGACTCTGTGAGGAGCAAGCCAAGGACCCTAAATGTCCCTTCTCCCTGGCAAGCCACCAGCCACTGTCCTGGAGAACCATTTCCATCATTGTCTTATCTGCTACTGGGGAAAAAGGACTCTTAATGCCAATTCCAATGCTCTTAGATGACTTTCTCTCTTTGCAGGTGCCTTTTGCCCTCTATTGCCCCTAAAGACAGCCTTCTTTGCAAGCCTGAAAGTTCAATACAGAACCTACCATAGCACCCAAGCCTACACTTTCAGGCTTTGCAGATATATGGTAATGGGAATAATATAATGGGAGCAACAGGATGAAAAGCACCGTCCCACAGGCTCTAGAACACACTGCTATGGCAGCACAGGGCTAAGTGGGGAATCTGTGAGTGGAAATTGGGCTGCAGGGTTGCCAGGAAAGACCCTCAATGAAACTA